GAGTGAACCATCCCTGTGGCTCACAGAGGCCAACTGTTCATTGCCCAGCAACAGAAAAGGCGTTGTATCAGCTCTTCAGAAACAGACCTAGAGTATGAATAGCAATTGCTAAGGAACCACTTTGGGAGCAGGCAGACCTGACATGCGTGAGCTGTTAGCATTGTTGTGATAATAAACCTAAACAGTATCACTAGACAGATTCTTGAGTTTTGTTTCAGAGCAGGCTGGGAAAGTTGCAAGTTAGAAACTTGCAAGGATGTAACAGGACAGTGATTATTCTGTAGAAAACAACATTTGATCTCATCCAGTGGTAAACAGCCCTGCACAGTTATCAGCTCCAGCAGCCTCACAACAGCTATCCACCTTACAATTATACTACTAACTCCTTGCCCAGAGAATTCACCAGGAGCCTGAAGACAGTCTTTGGTCCAGCATACCACAAATACAATGCAGATTAAGTAAGGAGTACACAGGCAGCTGATGAGCACTGCAAGTCTTGGACTAATAGGACTTTTCATCACATCACCCACTCTCATCTCTGCCTCAGACTTTTCAGTCTGTTACTACCAGTCACCATTAGTCTTTATCTAAAGGTCAGTTATGGGGATTTCGAAGAAAGAGAAAGAGGGGAGTGGAATCAGCAAGGATCACCATTTATAAAGAGCTTTGTTTTCTGAAATAATGTCAGTTCCAAAGTCAAGAAGCTGCTTTAACCAACCAAGACTGATTAATCCCAGGTTGCTTTGGCACAGAGGAAAAGCAGCCTTGGACAGTAGTGGAATCTTTCAGCATCTATTTCCAAGTCAAAAAGAGACAAGCCCCACCACAAAAAATAACAACTTGATTTTAAAATGCAGGTGCCACCCATGGCGAGCTTTCCAAAGTGCTTTGCAAAAACTGCCACAAAAAGGGGCAATTCTGCTGAAGTATCATGTGAGCAACCCACCTAAGTAAACAGGAGGGTGAGTGACTCTGCAGTACAACTATTATAGACTGGGTCTGTCTGTGATCTCTGAAACCTAAAAAGGCCTTAGGCACAGGGCAACTATAACCTGTTAGAGTAAAAACACTTATTGCCTGAATTTCCCTGTGTCACTTAAGTCTACATATATTCAGCTTTATTTCCTAGTCAAGTTCAGTTATTAGTCAGGTGATGCATGTGTTACCACTTTGAAATTTTCAGCATACTTATCTGAGTGTAAATGGAAGCTTTCTGCTGGTAGATGATCTTTTCTCGGGCACAGCTGTCAGAGAGAAGAGACTTCACTGGGGTCGTGTTCCATTTCTAGTAAAAACTACACCATAGTCAAGAAGTTCTCCAAAAGTTCCCAGCTCACCTCTCCAGTTAAAATGAACTGGCAGCCCAAGTGCTATTTCCTGCCATAGATCTGTCACTTAGAGGTGAGGCTTTTTGAAGTTCACAAATGTGAACATGAAAAGCAGAAAGACTAAAAAGAGGGGGAGGAGAGCTTCCCTTCTTCAATGTAAGAAGATTAAGTGTGACAAACAGTGACTGGCTCTTAAGAAGGGCAGAAAAATGGAGAAATGCCTGTTGCAGAAGGTACTGTGTTCAGGGAGAGTTAAGTGCAGCATCAGACCTATTTCCTTGACAGTCATGTTCATTAGTCTTCCTCCATGAAGGAAAATGTAATGTGTGTGATAGCTGAGGTACAGTCCATTAGAAACATAAAAGGGGAACAAATAATGGACTCTCACGCTGAGTTAGCTACTGCCCCTGGGATACGATACCTATGCATGCCTGTCCTTGTTCGATGTACATGCCTGGCAAAAAAAACACCCTTTACCATTGAGTTTCTTCTTACAGAGCAATACAGAGTGGTGATTAAAGAAAAAGAAACACCTTAATTTGCTCAGAAAAAGACTCCAGCTGTTTGGAGAAATTACACTGAGAGCCATTCATCCTACTAGTCTGTTTTCCCAAGTATGGTTATGTTAACCTAGCTGCATCAGAGTCCAGGGTAAGCAATGCTGAACTGCAACAGTAATGGCTGCAAAACAAACCAGACAGTGGCTTTGTGTGGTCCTGAGACACCTGATCTGAACATTTCAGAAACTTGCTACTAGGCTGTGTTTGTATGACAATTAATTGTGCCAACTGCATTTTCAAAGGTGTATGTGTTTTTCCTGGAAGTATAGACTTTACACTCTAACATGTGAGACATTCTTTAGGACAAGTAACTGAAATAAACACAGCTTTAAAATGGATTTTGTATATCAGGTCTGTATCTTGGAGATGTCTCATATCTGCATAATAACTGAACAGCTCTAACCATGCAGCCCTCTTTCATGGGGTACAGCTTTTGGATATGCTTTCTTACCTACAGGGGCCAGGGAGAAGTGTGTTCTGCTGAATAGGAAGATATAAGAAGAAAAGGGAGCTAAAAATACTGCTTCCATTGAAAAATGCAACAGCACTAATTCAGAGCACAGTTAGCCACTTTCTTAGGAGGTCCTTTGACACCTGAGAGAATCAGACCAGACTGGATCCAGTAAGTGTAAATCAACTAGGGGAACCTGTCTTGAAGTGATAAGGACCCGTTCCTTGCTTATGTATGCAGTTATGAAATACCTCATATCATGGGAAAGCTGGCCTCCAAAGGAAGGAGATGTGATTAAGGTAATTTATCTTCAAATATGGACAACTAGAATGCACGTGGCAGAAAGGCTTTCCTCTGTCTGTTGGAAGAACTGAATCCAAATTCTAGGAGAGGCCATGCAGAAAATCCGCTCTCTATGGCTTTGCAATTAATAACTTAGCATGGCTCTTGGGAGTGGGGCAGCTGGCACTCATTTGGTGTTTGCCATCACTGTGAAATCAGCAGCACTGTGGTGTTGCCTTACCTGGCACTGTATTAGCAGGGGTGAAGTCTCTCTTCTCCTGTCCTCTCCCTTTTCCATCTTTTCATCCTGGGCTTTTGCCAGCGGAGATTGAACCCATGCAGACTGAACCCTGGTCTCGCCCCGCAGCTTGTTCAGATTGCCTTCCAAGAGACGCCGCTGGACCACGCTATGTGGCTGCTGTCTCCATCACAAAGAAAGAGAAATCCCAGCTAAGCATGGAGCTAAGGACAAGGACATTTGTTAGCCCAGGGAAGCAGATTGCAAATGCTTGACCCAACTGATCATCCTGATGAAAGACAGTTTTATCCCACAACTTTCTTTAAATCCCCAGATTTTTTCTGTAGCTACTGAGGTGATGTTAAATTTCGGGCTGTCTGTGAAAGGCAGCTCTCTGGGGTGCAATTGTTGGAGAAGAACATGCCTGATGCATGCTCTCCCCACACATACCTGTTCCTTCAGCTAAACAGGCACTCAGCTGTTCAGGTACTGCAGTGGTGGGTGTGTACTGACATCCAACCAGGCACACTCACACCTTCTAATGTGGGAGGGGACAGGGGTTGCAGCATGTGTGTGATGTACACATGGGTAAGAAGGCAGGACTCCAGATATTTTAGGAGTACAAGCAATTATTTGTAGTGAAGCAGGAAGCTTCCCCTGCATAGGAAACTAGAACTAGCTTCTAATGTTTTTTGGAGTCTGTCTCTGCTCCCCTCCATCAGAAGTGATACTATTTTGACTCCCTTCCTAGCTGGGGGAGCATCTATGAAGCCCTATGTTGTTCACAGCTAGAAGGGAGTGCCATCAGACAGATCAATGGCTGAAGGAACTTTATTCCTATCTCATGTATCTCGTTCATATCTCATGTATTTTGTATTCATATCTCATTGCTATCTCCTTTCTTCTGGGTGGAAGAAGGGGAGGTGCACCAAAAGGGAAGAAGACTTGGGAAAACCTTCTTGTCCCAACATTGCATACACACAGAGGAAAGTGTTGCTTTGGAAAGAAAGCTCCCTTTGTCATCAGCTTGATGCTCTAGTTTTTGCCCAGTCTTGTTGCAGTGCCTCCAGTCCCTGCACAGCTGCTGAGTCAACAATGGGCTGCATCAATGAAGTAGGCCTGTTGGAGGTAGATTTGTCCTTTCTCCACATACTCGGCCCCATGGCCCTTCTCCAGGACAGCAGCTGCTCAGAGCTGACAATAACATTCTCAGTAACAACTGCATATGTGAAGAAAGGCAATGAATCTAAAGGAGCTAATGTGCTACGGCATAAGCCATTGCTTTTATCTTTCTAAAAAAAATTTTTTTAAATCAACTTTCAGATGGTGCAGCAGTTTGATGTAGGATCTTACCAATGTGCAGGCCAAACATCTGAATTAGTCCAGACCTGCCAATGAGTTGGGCTGTATTAACCCGACAGGGTGTGTGTGCTTCAGACTAGCTTTATGCTTGGTCAGAAGGCTGAGGCCAGGGAAGCGTGTAAATTGCAACTCGAAGCACACTGACTTGTCAGTTTTGCCCAATGGTTGGAGTGGGAGAGCTGTTACTGGCTCTTTGGTTGCACTCAGCATTGCTCTTTGCAAGGTGCTGAGTCCCTCATGCCTCTGATTCCCCATCACTCAAGGGGCGAGAGTCAGATCATTCACATGCTGCATGAGAGACACTGCAGTAGTTGAAAAAGTGAGGTAAAAATATCCCTCTGTTCCTGGTCTTTTCCCAGCCTCCTGTGCAGGCCCACAGCACAGCTGGCCGTTGTACTTCACTCCCTAAATACTCCTAGCACAGTGCCAGTTTGGCTGCCAGCTAACATCTGGGTCATGGGAAAAGGGCAGGGAACTAACAGCAGGTCTCCAAATTCCCATCCTCCCTCCTATCTCCTCTCACAATCTGTCATGCAAAGGACCTTTCCATCTCCCCGCAACCTTTCCCACAGAAAGAGTAGGCCCTTTGCAGCTGCCACCTCTGTCTCCTTCTTGTCACTCAGGCTGGGAAGAGGCCAAGCACCGATGGGGAGTAGCTGAGCTTTGAGACTGTGGAGGCATCTGATTCAAGAGCAGACTCCTGGGGCCCTCCCTGTCTTGTCTCACCAGTGAGATGGAGAAGTGGAGAGCTTGGGCTCTCTTGGGCTGGTAAATTGACTCTTTTGGGCTGGTAAGAAACAATGAGATGAAGGGGATGGTGAGGGAGGACCTGAAGGGAGTTGTGGCCAGCAGCTGGAAGGAAGGCCCTCTCAGGACTCTTAGAAGGGTCAGAGCAGGTTCCCAGTGCAACTCATCAGGTTCAGGCTCTCCAGTATGAAACCTCAAGGCCTTGCTATGGAGGTGTTAAAAAAATGGGTAGATGTGGCACTTTGGGACATGGATTAGTAGGCATGGTGTTGGGCTGATGGTTGGACTGATGATCTTAGAGATCCTTTCCAACCTTAATGATTCCTAGTTTTTACTTTCATTAAAAAAATAATCCAGCCACCAAGCCAGGAAACATGAAATTATTATTCTACCCTTAACTGGTTTAGTGGTGGACTTGGTAGTGTTAGGTTAATGGTTGGACAGGATGAACTTAAAGGTCTTTTCCGACCTAAACCATTCTATGATGCTATGATTCTATGATTAGTGAAATGGTATGAGCTGGGGATCTTGATTTTTGGGATGGGAGAAGCCAGATCTTCAGACCTTCTTGGTACTTTCAGAATATTTTAGCTCATGCAGCTACTTTTTTTTTTTTTTCCCCATTTGAAAAAACAAAAAGTGTCATGCTTGTAGTTGTTATAAAGCTGGAAATGTGAGGTCTCCACTGAAATGTATAATTAGTCATTGTTGGAGATGTGATGGGCACATCAAGTCCCAGATGCTGCTGGATACATTGCATAAGCCAAATGCATACCCAGAATACACAGAACAGAGTGGCAAAAAATAACAGCCTGACTTTGACTGTATAAGAAAACATGTAGTTTTTTTTAAATTACAAAGGGCCTTGCTCTAATTTTAGGATGTGGGGCTGCCACAGCTGGAGTCTCTGGCACTGTCAGTGGAGACATGTTTTGGGGAATTAATTAAACTCTCCTCCCAGGGTAAGTGCTGTAGGACTCTGGGGTGTTTTGCACTTTCTCCAAGATCAACCTCTCCAGCACTTCCTGCTGCTGTTTTGTTTTCAGTCCTGCATTCCTGTCCTCCAGGAGGGAGACAGGTCAATTTAGGAAACATAGATGGAGTTTTGCATAGGGCTGGAGGAGTGCCTGAAAGCATATTTTGGACTCTAATTTGCAGCCCCCAAAACTTCACAGTGATATCACAGTGGCCTATCAAGTTGCAGGGACTGCTGAACTGCTCTTGGAAATCTAAGGCCTGGTTCTTCTCTTGCTCCGAGGTAAACCAGAAACTGAGGTACTGCAGCTACCGTATTGACCCCAGGTATGACACCGTGTGTGCGAACTTTGCACAGGTGCCGCACTTCATTTTGTGCCTTCTAACACTAGTGCAAAATTTCCACGGCAGAAAAGATGTTATGCTTTATTCACTGCTCCCTAGCTCCATGGTAAAAATGTTTCAGCCATTCTGTTATGGACCAAACATGAACTATGCCATGGTTTTGAGTGACCAAACGCCACATGCATGTGAGGAAGTCTCCTGCCTAGAATGGTTAATTTGATCAGGAGAGCTGCTCGTGGCATGTGATTCAGACAAGGCCTGTCTTGCTAGAGCAAGCATTTGGGGCTTCAGAGTGCCAGCCTTTGGAGGCCAAGACTGCCACCCGTACTGTGCAGGACTCTCACAGAGGCCTCCGGCTGGCACCGCAGTTGTCATTTTGGGGGCATGGTGTGACAGCAGTCAATTCCAAAGCAAAGCAGGTAGACATGCTTCTCTTTGCCTTTGTGGCTGGGCTCAGCAAACACACACTAAAAGACTCAAAAGTGGCTCCTTCCTGTTCCCGGCCAAAAGCTGCACAAGGCAGAGCCTAGGGGTATGTCTGGCTGTCCCCTCCTGAGGAGATGTTTCAGCTGCAAGGCAGGGCATGAAAGGCCAGTGCTAGCCTGCCCATGCTGCCAGCTGGAATGGGGCCCTCTGGGCTCTGGTGTGGCCAGACCTCCTTCCCCACGGGGAGGACAGGCCCTGTTCCTCGCTAACACAACACTTATGTGACTCCCCTCTTGTGCTTCAGACAGCAACTGCGTTCAGGGCCAGAGGGATGCTCAAGACTAGTCCCTGCTGAAAGTGCTGTGTGCGGCTGCGAGGGGCTGGCAGAGCATGAGGCGACAGCTCAGGGCGGCTCTGAGGAGCCACCCTTGACCCTGCCAAGCCAGGGACTCTCAGCAGCAGCCGAGGTGGCTATGGGGAGGGTGGCAGGAGCAGGAGGGTGTGCCGGCATGGGAACGTGGCAGTGACCCCTCATCTGCCTGCGACAGAGCCACTGCACCCAAAGGTTTCAGCAAGGGGGATAGCTTCCATTCAGGCCCAGTGCCTGTGACCCTGCCTGTCCCGCACACCTGTGCCCCTGTGCGCAGCAGCGCCTGGCTGCCGGCAGCCGTGGGGCCTGCCACGGGAGCCGGGAAACGACCAGAGGAGATATACACGCACGAGCATCCGTGCTGTGGCTGCAGTGGCCTGAGGATACAGAGGGAAGCATGGGCTGCAGGGAGGGGCAAGATCTTTTATGACATCCACGGGCACAGCTGTAATGAGTGGTTGTGTCCACATCACTGGCCAGACCCAGGCCCTCTTTTGGGAAAATGGTTTAGACCTCTGCATCCTTGAGCAGTTAAACTCCACAGTGGAGAGAAGTTAGACAGCAAAACTGCCAGAGCAAGGGGGAGACGTGTGCAGTTAAGCCAGCAAGAGATCCCATGGGAGACTGCTCCCTGCCTTGGGGAATTCCCTCCAGACCACAAACTGCCCAGGCTCCTGGAACAGACCCCTTCCCTGATGCCTCCTGCTCCAGAGATGCCCACAGTCCTTGCTCCCATGCCTCCTCCCCAGAAGTGTTATCCACGGGTGCTTGCCACTGCAGCTGCCTGCATGCCTGGCTCGCGGTCCTGCCCTGTGCTTGCCCCTCCAGAAATCCAAAGAGTTGGGGGAAAGAGAATAACACAAAAAGGGAACAAGGTCATACATAAGCCTCTTGGAGTTTCATGAACTGTGCTTCCCTCCCTGCTGAGTCCAGAAAGGAGTCTGCTTTGGAGCTGGATCATGCAGGGATACATGGGGCATTTTAGCGATGTCCTACATGGAAACATACATGTCAGATGAACATATTTATGTACCAGGTGAGTGGAAAGTTGGATCCTGGGGAGTCCTTCTAGTCCATGTCTGCCTGCTTCTGCGAGGAGTTTGGTCCCTAAGGGAATGTATGGGAAGATGGATGCAAAAAATGGGCAATTCATTCTTTCCCCTCACCCTGACCTGCTCATACATGATGCTGAAGGGAAGTTTCATCTTTGCTGCACCCATGACCCTTTCACAAAGCCTGGCAGCAGTTCCCAACTGGGATGAAGGCTATTAGGAGGACCCCCTCCCAAATGGGGTCCCACTGGACTCACCAGATCCTTGGAGGTGCCAAGCCTTGTCAAGCCATCCAGGGGCAGCAGGTCAGCGGAGTCCTTGTGCACAAACTGGGTGGCCTGTTTAAGGCGCCTGTTCTGTTGCAGAATAGCTTTGTTCCTCAGCTCCACCTCACACTCCTGTCGCTCCAGGTCAGGAGTACCCTCACTCCGCTTTTCCTCCTGGTCTCCTTGCCCTAGTGGCAGAGGGCAGCTCTTCCTTGTGCTCATGGTGAAGATTCAGACAGAACAGGTCCTTCTTGGTATGCTGGGGTGTTCCCTGCACTCGTCTCCCGGTGTTTGCCCTCTTGAGGCTGACTCAGTCTCTGAGCTCCTTTCCCTTCCCCTTCCCCACAGCTCTCCTTCTCTCCCTGTCTCTGCCTTTCTTCCTGCTCTCTTAGTTATAACTCACCCATCTCTGAAGTGTCTTGGTACCTTTTTCTCCCTCTGTCCTCTCCACTCCCCTGGTGTCCCTCTGCTCCCCACCTCTTCCTCTCCCCCTCTTCTCCAGCCCTGACTGCAGCTCTGCCTTCTCCAGTCGGTGGGTCCCTGTTGTAACAGAAAAAGACCCACGTCAGAAACAAATTTCCATAAATTACAGCAGAGCCAGCAAGATGCTCTGGCTGGAAAAATCCAGCAGCAGAAGGATGGCCCCGCTGTTGGGGGCTGGACTTACCTCCCTCGGGCTGTGTGCGCACGCGCACGCGTGTGTGTGAGTGTGTGTGTACGCTGCCTGTTCCCCCTGATATGCTGAAGAGACAGTAAATCTCTTGGTGGCAGGCTGTGCAGTTCAGTGTCTCTGCTGGGGGGGGGGGGGCTTTGACGCATCTCAGTGAATCTGTAAATACTGGCAACGACATGATTCAGTCTAGGACATGATGCAGTGCCTTGGTAAATGGGAGAGAGCATCTGCCTCAAGGCTCCTGGCAGGCATGCCCAGTCTCATTTCTGCAGAGTGTCACGCATTTGGAATAGGCTGAACTGAAGGATTTTACTGTGTAGCTTGAATGAAATGCTGAAGGCCTGGTGTCTGCTTCTGGCCAGGGCAAATGTGTTGGGCCTGAGTCTGCCCTCCTTTTCACCTCTCTCCATCTAGAGCTGAAGTTGCAGAAGCCTAAAATCACTGGCTTGTCAATACCAGTGCACTTGACTCTCTGTTTACACTAAGAGTATGCTGACATTGCTGCAGTGTGGGATGTCTGGATGAGGGCAGACATCCCTCCTCTCAGGGAAGAGAGGACATGGCAGGGCTCACTTTTTCAACTTTCTGCCTCCACATTGTCCTGCTTGAAACTATAAGTTTCAACTTGAACTGAAGCTGCTTTATTTTGATCTCTTTTCACTGGTGAATGCACTGCCCCAGTAAGCACCAGTTCTGAAGTCATGTGCAGAGGAGGAAATTGAGTTTTACTCAGCTATGAAGCTGAGGACAGCATTACCTTTCCATGAATGTCAGCTGGGGGTGAAACAGCTTTCATGTACAACATAGAAGGAATAGCTGCTACAGACTATGAAAGTTACAGCAAAAGGAGGCTTTCTGTTGCTCCCTTTCTTTTTTCCCAGCTTAATAGAATGTAACATTCCAACAGTACTGATACCAATTATTTCTATGTTCTAGACTTTATGTAAAAATATAACTCTGAGTTTGCAATGTTAAGAAGTAAATGCAATGGTCCATGTACCAAGATGAGTCCAGTCAGCCACTGTGAGACCTCAGTGTGGTCGCAGAAACTACAAAAAAGTTGGCCCCAGTGCAAAGCAAACCATGTTGCTTACCTTTTACTCCCTGTTAATCATCACAGTGTTAGCATTTCTCTTGGGATCTTTGGTCCTCAAATGTTAGAAGGGAGGCTGGTTATTTTTAGAGTCATTCTAAAATTTGAAGAGGTTAACCTTTTTGTTCCCAGTATGCTAAGTGCTTTGCACAAGGTATCATGGTTCCCATAGCTCCAACTTGCAGAACTACATTTGGCAGGAATAGGAGTAGAAATATATTCTAACTGCTTTACACGACAAGGCCAAACTCCAATATCACAATGCAGGCAGAGTCCCATCAAGAGCTCAGCAGAGCTGTTTTCAATTGTCCTTGTCTCTCTGCAAGCCAAATTAAGAAAGGAGTTTAAATAATGGATATTCCCAGGGACCGTGTTCCCACAGTTTTGTTTTCTTGCCTCTAGGTTGTCATGATTCCTGATTTACACATACTTTTGACCTCTTGTGGCCTCACTGAGCATCCTCTGAGACTTGTTATCAAGTCCTTTAACCATCCCCATAAACCAGTACTGAATCATGCACCTCTACTCTCACACAGGGCCCTGTTCCCCCTCCTGCAGGCTGTGAATATGTCAGCAGGCCAGCCTTGACAAGGCAGCTCTGCTTCTGCTGGCAGCAATGGCAGTGCCAATTTTCTTAAAGCCTCAGAAAAGACCTTAAAACTATAAAGTAGAACAGAACATCTTGGGACATGATCCCCTGCAGTCCCTGCCTTGATACCTATGGGCAGAGGTACACAATTTCTGATGACATTGTCTCTCACTTTGGATGTGTGTGTGGGCATGAAAAGGAGAGAGCACTCATAGTTCCCAGTCCCAGTTCCTCCTTGCAGCTAGCCACCCTTTATTATTTCTTCTTGCCCCACACTTTAGCAAGGCCAAATCAAAATCAGTTTGCCTTGCAGCTGTGCTGGAGCCATTGCTTGAGTAGTCCTGCTTTAGGGTCTGACCAGCTAATCCTGGCCCCTAAGTCACAAAATATTTTTCTCCTAGTGCCTCAAAGGAGAGAATTCTTCAAATCTTATTTAAAGCTTTCTCCCCTTCTTCATCCCTTCTGCTCCAAAGAGCAGGTCACTTAACTCTTTATACCCTGTGATGTTCCCAGATCTAGCAAAAAAACCTAGTGTTTTGATGGAGGTGGAGTCAGCTGAGATGTTATCTTCTCCCTTCAGAGGCATGCTCGGTTCTAGGTCACTGTTTTTTTCTATTCAGCTATTACTTTTTCCATCCTGTTCTTCTTAAACAGAGCCCATTTACTAAGTAGGTTAGGTGCTTTCAGATTTTTGCAGAATGGACACTCTTAAAGGTTTTCTAATGGAGAGACAGACCACAGTGCAGTGAATTTATGTTTATTCCCAGTAGCTATGCCTTTCCCAGTCATCTTTTGTAGGCCCTGGAAAATAGTGTATGACTCACCAACAGCCTGTGTTAGAAAAATAAAACTGGTTTAGACAAAAACATTCATACACAACCCCATACACACTAAGAAATTATTTTTCTTCTTTGATCCAGTCAGATACAATAATCATAACCCATTATACCTCACTAGTCCCCACCCTTCATACAGAAATTCTTACAGGATGTGTAACAGTGCTATTCAGACAATGGAAGAACCACTCCAACTCCACAGAAGATAAAAGCCCTTCTCCCTGCTCCTGCTAGCAGCTTGGCCTTCTAGCTCAAGCAGTTACAGGTCAGTGAGAGCTCTGGGGCAAAAGATTCCAGCTTCTAACCACAAAGCCACGGCACTGTATCTGTGTTCATGGCTGTTGGTCTGTGGTGTTGACCCCCTCCATGTCTGAGAAACGCTGAAGAATTCAAAACTAGTGCCCATATTTCTGATGAAAGGCACTGAAAAGCAGCATTTCCCAGTAGCCAGTTTGCCCAGCCAAGAAACAGAAGAGGGTCAATATTCCAGCCAGCTATTCCTTTGTTGAAGAAATTCATGAACAGTATCTGAAGTAGTGAAGGGGAGGGATGGACTCCTTTGCTGAAAGAAGTAACTCCCAGATTAAAGAACATGAGACAAAGTAAAAATTTTACCTCCCTCTGCCAGGAGCATTAGGGAGTATCCCAGCTGTTTGAGGAGCTGCTCTGGTGAAGGCTTGCACAGGTTTGACTTTAAATTCAGAAGCTGAGTTTTTTTCACCACAGATTTTCCTTGTATCTCACTTCTGGGAAGCTTTACCTAACCTAATCATTCCTCTTTAAAATATTCTCCTACTACTTTTGCAACTTCTAATACTTGTTCCCTTCTCAGAGAATTCTCTTCAGCTTTGAATTTTTCTCTTTCAACAATTCGAAAACTATTATTTTGTCCTCTTGTAGAGCCAACACAGTGCAGGTGGGAGAGTGGATTGTAGAAAAAGAGCTTTACATTTCTTTTGTGTCAAGCTAAGCTGTTACAGAGCTCAACAATACCCCCCACACAATGTAACCAGCCCAGAGGTTGTTTCTACATTACACCAGTTTCCAAGGCACTGTCTCAGTTTGGTAGAGCAAGCTTCAAGTGCGTGTAAAAGTGCCCCTCAGTCCATCAACTGCATCAAGGCCAGGAGATTTCTTGTGGTGGCCCAGTGCAGGATCACTGTAAGTCAACTTTCTGCTCATCATGAGAATGCAAGAGCATTCTCACAGCCTGTGCACAGTCTGTGGATGAACAGGTGGTGCAGAGGAGGGATGAGAGGACAAACCTTACTTGTAATGCATGTTATGCATGCTTCTGTCTCCCCTTCCAAAAAAATTCTTCGGAAAAAAAGCTTCCTCTGCTTTGAATTCCCTCCCATTTGTCTATTTGGATAATAAAATATATTCCTGTTCTTCAAATAATAAGTAACAGGTTACAGTAGTTATATCTGTGAATAGGTCTGGCAAGTTTCCTTGAGGTAAATGTCATCTCAGATGTACATAATGTTTTAGCTCAGCTGCTGGACACTAAAGTGTGTCCTGCTAGTAAGGTCAGTCAGAAAGTAGAATAGTTTGCTTAATTAGGTAATTTAGGGTCAAGTGTCTGCAGTCATCTGCCATAGGGGCTAGATTTATGAAAACACTGTGGCAAACTTGGAACAAAGTTGTCCAATATGAATTCCCCCTGCTGTATAAATATTGCTTGTAATGATTTGTGTCTTGTCTGTATTGATTTCACTGCGTGAGCTAAGTTGCGTACAAAGGGGCATCTTCTGTTTGGTTAGAATAGTTAGCATTGCCACAGAAAAGTTCCTGATCATGCAGCAGGCAACACAAAATTCCCCCTTCCATTACATGGCTGCATTAATTACACTAGATGACTTTGGCTTTGTTTTCACAAGAGGAAAGAATATCCACTTTTATTACAGGGTGCTAATGCACATAGCAATGGCAACTATCTTACTCATGCTTCTCTATGCTCATGAAGATGTTTAAAGTGGAGAATAATTTCTGGTAGGAATATGCTTACCAATAAAAGTATGCAAGAGTCTG